CTTTATTCTGCTCCATTGATCTATGTTTCTGTTTTTATGCCAGTGCTGTGCTGTTTTGATTACTACATCTCTGTAGTAGATTTGACATTAGGTAGTGTGATGCCTCTAGCTTCGTTCTTTTTGCTCAAGATTGCTTTGGCTACTCAGAGTTTATTTTGGTCCCATGTTAATTTTATGATTATTTTTTCTATTTCTGTGAAAAATATTGGAATTTTGATAGAGATTGCATTGAATTTGTATATTACTTTAAATAATATGGACATTTTAACAATATTAATTCTTCCAATTGGTGAACACGGGACATCTTTCCATTTTTTTGTGTCTTCTTCAATTTCTTTCATCAATTTTTTATAGTTTTCATGATAGACGTCTCTCATCTCCTTGGTTAAATTTAACTCTGCATATTTTATTTTTTGTAGCTATTATAGATGGAATTTTCTTGATTTCCTTTTTGGATAGTTCATCGTTAGTGTGTAGAAGCACTATTGATATGTGCATTGATTTTGTATCTTGTAACTTTACTAAATTAGTTTATTAGTTCTAACTTTTTTTGGTGAACTCTTTAGGGTTTTCTATATATAAAATTATGTCATCTGCAAACAGGGACAATTTAACTTCTTCCTTTTCAGTTTGGATTTCTCTTATTTCTTTCTCTTGCCTGATTGTTCTGGCCAGGACTTCCAGTGCTGTTGAATAGTGGAAAGAGTGTGCACCCTTGTCTTGTTCCTAATATTAAAGGAAAAGCTTTCAGTTTTTCACTGTTTAATATGTTGTCAGCTGTGGGTTTGTCAGATGTGGCCTTTATTGTATTGAGTTAGTTCCTTCTATACCTAATTGTTGAGGGTTTTTATTATGAAAACTCTTAATGTTGAATTTTGTCAAATGCTTTTTATACATCTATTGAGATGATCAATGGTTTTTGTCCTTCATTCTGTTAATATGATGTATTACATTTATAGATTTGCATATGTTGAAACACCCTTGCATCCATGGGATAAATCCCACTTGATTGTGGCGAATGATCCTGTTAATGGGCTGTTGAATTCCATTTGATAGTATTTTGCTGAGGATTTTTTCATTTATGTTCATCAGGGACATTCGTTTGTAATTTTTTTCTCTTGTACTGTCCTTGTCTGGCTTTGGTATCCAGATAACGCTGGCCTTGTAAAATAAATTGGGAAGTATTCCCTCTTCTTCAGTTTTTTGGAAGAATTTGAGAAGAATTGGTATTGGTTCTTCTTTAAATGTGTGGTAGAATTCAGCAGTGAAGCCATAGGTCCTGGGCTTTTCTTTGATGGGAGACTTTTTATTACCAATTCAATCTCCTTACTCATTATTGGTTTGTTCAGATTTTCATGATTCAGTCTTGATAGGTTGTATGTGTCTAGGAATTTATGTATTTCTTCTAGGTTATCAAATCTTCTCTTCTTATAAGGACACCAGCCTGAATAGATTAGAGCCCATCCTTAGGGCTCCATTTTAACTTAACCACCCATTTAAAGTCTCTGTCTCCAAATACATTCACATTCTGAGGTATTGGAGGTTGGGGCCTCAACAAATAAGTTTTGGAGAGGGACACAATTCAGCCCATAACACCATCTAAGATTTAGGGAATTTGTGTGTTGCCAAAGCTGGAGGGCGACTTAACTGCTGGTACTCAGAGCTGCCCTCTATCAATGCTTATATCCCCTGCAACAGCCTCATTCCCTTCTGGTCTTTGATAGCCAGCCCATGTAGTAATCACCTGAGTTGTCTCTCATCGATGGCTACAAAGTGCCACACTGGGCCACTGAAGTGCAGTGGCGTGGACTGAAGCTTTCTATCCCTTCCATGTGCCCATCATGGCCTTCTAGAAATCATTCCACTCTGCCTGTGCTATGTGGGCACAGAGGGACATAGTGAATGTCTTAATTCATTTTGTTTTGCTATAAAAGAAGACCTGAGACTGGATAATATGTAAAGAAAAGAGGTTTATTTAGCTCATGGCCATGCAGGCTAAGAAGTTCAAGGGCTTCTGGCCAGGGCTTTTGTGCTGCATTGCAACACGGCAGAGAAGGTGAAAAGGGAAGTGGACACGTGTGAAGAGGGGGAACATGAGGGTCACCCCGGCTTTACAACAACCCACTCTCTCAGGAAATAATCCATTCCCAGGAAAACTAATCCAGTTTCACAGAGTGAGAACTCACTTACTACATCAAGAACAACACCAAGCCACTTATGAGGGATCCCAATCTACCCCCATAATCGAAACACCTCTTGCTAGGCTGCACTTCCCAACATCACCGCATTGAGAATCAAGCCTCAACAAGAGCTTTGGTGGGGACAAACAAACCATATCCAAACCATAACACTGAGGCTGTCTCAGGCCTCTCACATACATACTGCTGAGTTTCACCGACTAATCTGACTTCACCCTGGAAATGAGGCACAGGTCCACACTCCTCCCCAGATCACATGACTCATGGGCATTTGTCCCCCACCGCTACCTCGGGGCTTGCTGAGAAGGGGGGATAGCAGTCAGCATGCAGGGCCGCTTTCTGCATCTGACCACATCTAATCTCTCATTACTTCCTCTCTCACAACACTAAGCCCCACCTCTGCCAAACAGGAAAATCTTTGTCTGTTCTTGGGGCTGGGAGTCTTTACTTTATCTACACAGTTATTCTCCCAAGCGTGTTGTCTACATCTTAGTCTTTTCCTTTCCCCTGAGTTGCCTGAATCTTTTGAAACGTAAAACCTACATTTTCTTCTTTTTTTCTCCCTGCTTTCTGCCAGGAATCTCTCCTCTGAGGCAGTAATCTCTTCTCTTGAGGCAATGAATACAAAATGGCTAACTGAGTGTATAAGGATGGGCTAGGGTGAAAAGAAATGTGTCTGGGAAAATATAGCAGTATTTCAAGATCCTACCCTGCCAAATTTAGTTGCTGCTTTAGCTAGTGAAATCACAACAAACAGACAATGTGGCCTCACAAAGGACCCTGCATCAGCAGAATAGGCTCTTGCATTGTCAGCCCCATGGAGAAGTTAGAACCAGGCAGATTCACATTCTCTTCCCCTTTTCCCCATGGGTAGCCCAAGTGCCTTGCCACTGGCCCGTGTTGGTTGGCCAGAAATGCCAACCCCCTAAAGGCAGTGCTCTGAATAACTGGTAATTGGCTTTGTCTTACCTTTATGTTGTGAAAATGTCACAGTGCTCAATTCTCTGAAATTTCCAACCATTCATTTGATAGCCCTGTGATCGAAAATATGGTATTGCCACATTTTCTGTACTAAATAAAAAGCAAATTTTTTAAAAGCTGATAAAGTTCTTATTTTGTAGAGTTGGCAAGGTTTTAGCATAGGTCATCCCCAGTTTTTTCTCCTGTTTAATTAGGAGAAGTGAATGTTTGATTGTGTTTCTTGTGTTTTTTAACTACATTCCCCTTTTGTTTTTTTGAAGAGCAAAATACATAGATATTTGATGTGGATATGAAAGTGCCCTTTCCCTAAAAGCAGAAGTATAGTCTATTTAGGTAAAAGAAGAGATCGTGAGAGTCATGAAATATCCATATATAGAAACCACAGATAAGTGGATGTGCAAAACCAAGTGAAAATGAGAATTTTGAATTAGAGTCACAAGTAATCTGAAATCATTACTTTCATTTTTGTAAAAAGTTAAGGCTATTATTAATTTTCCACTTCGTACTTAAATTTTTATTATTTCAGTAATAACATAAAGTATTCTGAATTTTTGAGTTACTGTATGCTAAATTATAAACTCTCATATATAAATGTAAATATTACTTTTTTTTTTCTCAGTGAAAGACCTACAAAGGAAGTACTGAAAACCTTTACATCCCCGAAATACCCTGATTAATTCCAATATAAAAAGTCTTAGTAATATCACAAGATCATCTTTTCCATCTCTGGGTAGAAAAAAAAAAATTCACCACCAACAACCTTTAATGTCTTTTTACAAACCTAGACTCAAAATGCTCTGATTATAGTCTTTAAAATTAAGTTAAATTTTTCTATCTCAACTTAATTTTGTCCTTATAAAGGAATATTTTTCCCTTCATCTTTAATAAAAGTTTATGAGGCCAAGGTTCAAAAGTGATGTCTCTGACTTTTTTATATCTCAAAAGTAAGGAAGTTCTAGGAGCTAATTTCCCTTCATATTAAACCACTTATAGATTTGGTGCTAACTTTAATTTGCTAAAGTACTATGTGAGTTTTTATAATAACCTAAGTCTTTCTCAAATAAATTTTCAAGTTTTATAAAATTATTTATTTGCCTAAGCCAATTAATTCAATGGGTTTATCAATCTCTGTTTTCTAGCCCAAGAGGAGAATGGAAGGGGAAAATGGTTCTATAATCAAATACTATTTATCCAATCCCATTAGTCCCTCAAAAAAAGGACTTTACCAAGATGGCTACCTTAACACCCCTGCCATGCCCCCATCCCCATCATTGCCATTAAACAGCACAATATCCACCATAAACACCCAGCCCCACTTTCCCTCTTCTCTTTTGCTACCAGGAACTTGATCACCCTGAATGGATCTACAACAGCCTCTCCTATCTCACACATCCAGACGACTCATCCCACTTTATCTCTGCCTCTCTTGGAGTACCTATCCATTTTGCCATTGCATTATGGCTATTATTGAATATGCCTTTCTTCTCTACTAGCTTATGCTTCTTTGGAGTTACGGTCAGTTCCTATACACCTCCATACACAGTGCCCTAAAAATATGATGAATGATGGATGAATAAATAAATAAATGAAATATCTAATATTCATTCTATTAAGTCAAGCACTTAATTAAGATGCAAGGAGACAACTGAGTTATAAAAATTACACTACAGTAAACAATAAATAAAAACATCTTTTAAGTATTTAAGAGACTTCTTTTGTTCAAACTTGGATAAAGCACGTCCTTCTCATTAAGATGCTGCTTCCTCATTGGTTTATGATGAAATATGAGTGCAATTTCCTGTCCCCTCAACAGCGTCAGTTTCTCTTCTTGATGAATGCAGATTTTTCGGGCTCCTCAGTGGACAAAAGCGTCACCTCAAGAAACATGGGTAAGTATAAGATTAGAAAATAAAATAAGATTTTTAAGTAGATAATGTACTTAAATGTTCAATTGTAAGCAAGGTTTGCAAAATTTTGTCTGGTTTAAGTTGAATAAATGTGGTAATGCAAAGCAATATAAGAGAGAGAAATGAGGACATATGGTTTCCTTTACTTTGAGCAATGGTAAAGGGTCAAAATTTAAATTTAGGACTAGTTAGGTAAAACTGTAGATATACAAAAGGGGAATGTTTTTACTCCCTTTTCAGGAAATAGTGTATTGGCAAACTGCTTCAAATATTTAAAAGAAACCTACTAGCTCCTAGCTGTAGAACTATCTGGCACCATTTCCTCATCAGTACAATGGTCTAGCAATACTTTTTATGCCATCAGAAATAATGTGAAGTTAGGAAATAATATTTCCAGTATTAATAACTAGTAACTAGTAATTATTAGTCAATAAGTGACTATCACAATGCCTGAAATGTAGCAGAGTCTTAATAAGTAACTATTAAACTGATAAATGAAAGCAAGCATTTCCTATGAC